CGCACTACGTGTCCAAGAAGGTGCGCGGCAGCAGCAAGCTGGTGGGCATCGTCGGCGGCGAGGGATGGGCGGTGGCGCAGAGCGCGGAGACAAGGCGCCACGTCGACGCGTTCGTGCACGCGGCGTGGCGGGACGTGCTGGTGGTCGGCGGCGAGGGCGCCGACGCGGCGGTGAGGGAGGCGGTGGCGTCGCAGCGGAGGTGGGTGGCGGTGGCGGACGACGAGATGGGCGACGCCGTGAGGGCGGCGGCGGCTGCGGCGGTGGTGCCGGCGTACCGGGCGCTCTACCGGCGGCACGGCATGGCGGCGTGGATGACGCCGGGGGACGTGAACGCGATGATCGGCCGGCTGTTTGGTGGGCCGCGGAATGCAGCGGCAGGTGCCAGGCCGGTCGCCGCCGGCGGTGCGACGCCGCGACGCCATCGTCTGCGTCTCACCTCTTCGTCGCAGAAATTGGCCCATAAACAGTAGGATGGTCCAAGTAGAAAGCCCAAGCCCATCACTTGTACGGCCCAAACATTTTGTGAATATCCCTACAATTTTTTTTGTTCACGAGAATCTGTCCAATCACCTTTTTTTGTTTAACAAACACATTTTGGTCAAAATATATATAAAGTGCTTGTTTTGTTTACTTGGGGTATAAAACATGTGCACTTTTGTGTACATTTATGAGGAGATCACAATTATTGAAGGAATGTAAGTGAGGGCCTTGAAATAAAGCAGAACACATATATAATGCATTTACTAGTTGATATCATGCGTTTTGCTACAGGATGTGGATTAATGCACGTTATATGTATATCGATCCTTGTGTGCATTTTACAAACATAAATGCAGAATGAACTAAGATAGTCCTTTATAAGTTAATGAGTAGGTAATAATCTGCAAATGGACGAAAAAAATAGTATCAAAGACATCATCTAGCTAGCTAGCCCAACTTGCGGTTGTGTACATCTAGTTGTGTCCGGTTGGGTGGAGTAGTTTGGATGGGAGATGGCCGTCTGATTTTTTATAGTGTTTGGTTGGAGGGCAGAGTGAATGGAGCGGCCCATAATAACGAATATTCCCTCAATATGCTGGCGGTGCGACGCCGCGGCGCCATCGTTTGCGTCTCACCTCTTCGTTGGAGAAATTGGCCCATAAACAGTAGGAAGCCCAAGCCCATCACTCATACGGCCCATCACTACATTTTTTTTTTGGTTGAATAGAGTCTGTCCAATCATCTTTTTTTTTTAACAAACACATTTTGATCAAAGTAGAAAGTGTTGTTTTTGTTTACTTGGGTTTAAAAATTGTTTACTCTTGTGTACATTGCTGCGGAGATCTTAATTATCGAAGGAATGTAAATAAGTGCTTTGAGATAAAGATGTATCTCTCGAGGTAATAGTTAATTTGATATCCTCGATTTTTCATTTTGTCTAACTGAGTATTCCATGTTTTCGTTTGAATCTCTATTTTTTGGACCAAAGGCTTGAGCCCCACATCCTTATTCCGCTAAAGTAGCTAAGCTGTACACAACTACATTACATTATTTGAGCTGTGCATTACATCAAGTGGACTAAACCGTAACATATAAGGAATTAATCGACCTATTCTTATTCTTGATAAAGGAATGGCAATATTGTAATTTTTTATATTATCAGAAGGATTTCACTAAAGATGAAATTATTACTGGCCTCTACATCAACTAGGGATACACAAAGCCTAGGAAAAAAAGAAACTGAGGCAAACATGAATATATCATGTTGTTTTACACAAACACACACTCAAATAGAATCAAAACAATAACATAAAGTCATAAATATCAACTCCAAAAACAACGCTTTTAAAAGGACCTGTAAGCACCACATGGGACAAAGACTAATCAAACAAACATCGTGTCAGCTGAAAGCCGTCCTAATATAATACTACTAAGGGACTTGATTTGTAATAATTGTGGATGCTGAGGGGCAATGGTTTTACAATTGAGAGACACGAATTAATCTCTTCCCTATTTGAGGGAACTAGTTATAGTGAACCTTTTACCATTGATAACTATCCAGATGGGTGGGCTGAATTGGGCCGCTACAAATGCGGCTGCGGTGATGGTGCCGGTGTACCGGGTGCTCTATCGGTGGCATGGCACGGCGGCGTGGATGATGCGGGGTACATAAAGGAAAAAGTAAACCCAAGGTCTCTCAACTTGTCATCGAGATACAAAATCGTCCCCCAATCGCAAAACCAGATTCCGGACATCCCTCAACTAACAAAACCGTTCGCTTTAGGTCCCTTGGTGGTTTTGATCCGGATTTTGTCTGACGTGGCGGCTGAGTCAGCGTGGGACCCACGTGGGCCCCACATGTCAGAAAGTCTACCTCAGCCTCTCTCTCTCTTTCCCTATTCTCTCCCTTCCTCCTCCTCTCTCTCACTCTTCTCTTCTCTTCTCTTCTGGGGCGGTGAATGGGACGACGAGGTGGCAAGCCGGCCGGCGTGAGGTGAGAGAGGAGGCGGCGGGCGACAAGGTGGCAGCGGCGGCTACAACGCGGGAGAAAGCGAGGGCGGTGGCCGGTTGCGAATCCCGTCAACGAAGCTGCGTCGCCGCCGGCGGTGAAGCGGCCCCGCGCGGGCTGGCGCCACGGCGTTGGGTGCCGCCGCGGCGCGGGCGCGGAGGCGACTTGTCGTTTACCTCCCACTCGGGGAGATCCAAGCGAGGCTCCCGACGATGGAGGTGGCAATGCGCCCGATCCGCGCCCCGCGGGACGCGCTCGAGGGCGCCGGGGAGTACATCGACCGCGCCGTGGGGCCGGCCGCCGCTGTGCACAGCCTCGAGCCGCCGCTCCTCGCGGCCTCCTCCGTCACCGACGACCTCCCCGGATACCTCGCCGTGATGTCCCGCTTCAAGGAGGCGCTCCACTTCCTCTCCGACAACTGCGGCATCACCTCCCAGTGGCTTGTTGACATCGTCGAGTACCTCGAGGACCGTAGTCTCGCCGCTGCCCTCGCCTTCTCCCGCCTCGCAGCCGCCACCGCCGCCGCCTCGTCGCCCGCCGCCTGCTCCTCTCCCGCCTCGCCCCGGTGGCCTCGTGGAAGGAGTAGCCATCGGCGCGGGGCCAGTCGGCGTCCTCGGCGAGCTGGGACCGCAGCTCCTCCTTCCTCTCCCGACGCTTTTCCCCCGCGGCAGCAACTGGAGAGTAGGTCCCAACGGTGGTGGTGGCGGCGGCGGATAGCGCGGACGCGTCGGCCTTCCTCCGCAGCGCCGCTTTCGCTGGAGCGATTTGGGGAAGGGTTGGAGACATGAGTGGCTAAGAGTAGCCGGCAAGCAACACCACTCCGTGCGGCCCTCCTCCCCCTTCGGCATCGCCGTGATGCTCAGCGGCGGTGTCGCCCTCGATGCGGCCGTCACCTACCACGACAAGTACGGGCGCGTCTGGGAGGTGAGCGCGGCCATGGCGAGTGGGCCCATACGTTGTCGTCGCGCATCACGGCAGCGTCGGCGGGACGTTAGGAAGAAGAGGCGGCGACGACACGACGATGGTGAGGCGGCAGAGCTGGCAGGTGGAGTGGGAGCCGAGCCACATGTCAACGTACTCGGCGTGGAAGCCGTGGCTGCACCGGGGGAGGAAGCTAGCCTCGTCGCCCTTCTCGAGCTCCGCAAGGCACACCGCGCACTCGACGCCGTCGTCCTACTCCTCCTTCGCCGCCGCCGCCGCCGTGCTGCGGCTATACACCGTGATCGACAGCGACCGCAACACCTCCGATTCGACCCCTCCTCCCCTTCCACCGTCCCCGCCCATGCCCGCTGGAGAAAGGTGAAGAGAGAGAGAGGAGAAAGAGAGAGGAAGGGAAAGAGAGAAAGGGAGTGATGATGTGGCATGCTGACAGGTGGGTCCCACGCTGACTCAGCCGCCACGTAGACTAAAACCGGGGTCAAAACCACCTAGGGACCTCGGGTGACCGGTTTTCTATAGTTAAGGGACCCCATATATCTGGTTTTGCGGTTTGAGGACGTTTTCGTATCTCGGTGACAAGTTCAGGGACCTCCGGTGCACTTTTCCCGTACATAAACGCGAGATGATCGGCCGGCTATTTGGTGGGCCGCGGGAATGCAGCGCCGGTCGCCGCCGGGACGCTAGGAGAAATTGGCCTACAAGCAGTTGGACGGTTGTAACGCCCCGATTTTCGTTCGGGTTTAAAAATCATTAAATAATGCATTTTCTAGAAATTAAATAAAAGTTAAATCAATTTAATCAAGTGAAATAATGGGAGAATTAAAATTTTCCCTTAAAAATCATTGGCCGGGAATATTTTGCAATATTCTTTGTGCCCTAAAATACTCTCCGGAATTTTCCGTGAATTTTCGGAGCTCGAGAAATAGTTTTAAAGTCACAAAGATCATTTAATCAATTAAATAAAAAAGAAAACAAAAACTCCCCTTCCTCCTTGGGCCATTTTCGGCCCAAGAATCCTTTCTCTCCCGCGGCCCACGCGCCCTTATCTCTCCCTCTCGGGCCGGCCTTCTCCCTCGGCCCGCTCGGCTCTCTCTCTCCCTCAAGTTTGCTTTACCTCCCTCGCCCGTTTTCCCCTCTCTCTCTCCCCGACAGGTGGGACCCGAGGCCCCACCTGTCAGCTCCTCCTCCTACCTCTCGCCGGCCAACTCCAACCGCCCGCGCTGCCGCCTTATCCGCTCCACGTCGCGCCTCCACTCCGCGCCCGCACCTCGCGCCCACGTCGCCGCCCTCTTCCCCCCGCATCTCCCGCGCGCGCGCGCCCGCAAGTGGTGGGGGATTTGAAATCCCCCAACACCCTCTCTCTCTCCTCCACCTCTCCACGTCGCCGGCCAAATAGGGGCCATCCCCGGCCGTTTCCGCCCCTCCCTCGCCCATAAAAACCCTCACCCGAGTCCCCTCCCTCGTTTCCCCCATTTGCCGTCCTCTCCCACGCCCCCTACCGCGCCCGCGCCGTCACACCCGAGCTCCGCCGCTTGTCGCCGTCTTCGGCCGCGCGCCGCCACTGCTGGAGTCGCCGACGCGCCAAACCGCCGCCGCCGTTAGCTTCACCGCCGCAAGAGCTTTCCCGGCCGCCGCCTCGCGTCGCCGGAATCCCACCGGAGCGCCTCTCCCCTTGCGAGCCGGTGAGTTTTTCCCTCCCCTCCATCTCCGGCCGGCAATTCAAGCCGCCGTGGTCGTCGTCTCCTCTCCTAACGCCTCTCCATCTTCTCCTAGGGTGTCGCCGCCGCCCGTCCGTGCCTCCGCATCGTCGGTCATCGCTTCCGTGTTCATTCTTCGCGCCGGCCGCCGTGCTCACGGTGAGGAGCTCCTCTCCTCCCTCCTTCCCTCTGTCCCGCACGCGCTGCCGCCCCTGCGCTCGCCATCGCCTTCGTCCGCCGCCGCCGGCCTGTGCGTCGTCCGCCGCCGCCTCCCGCGCCGTCGCTTGCCGTTGCCGGCTCTCGCGCGCCGCCGCCGGTCACCGCCGGTGACCGCGCGTGTCGCCACCGGCCGCCATGGCTGCCGGTCGGCTTTGAAACCGAGCCGTGCCTAGCCGCCTTCCCCGCGCCGTCCGATCGTCTTTGAGGCCGATCCGGACCGTCGATCCCGTGGACCGGCGGTGGACCACTCGTGTGGTCCCGGTCCACGGTAGACCGGCCACCTTGTGCCGCTGCCAGTGGGGCCCACTTGCCCGAGCCCCCTCTCCCTCCCCTTGTGCCGCTGACGAGTGGGGCCCGCCTGTCGGCGCCGGCCCTTTTGCTGACGTCAGCGGCAGTCCTTTTCCTTTG